ATATAATATCGTGTATAATACCACATGTAATATCATGTATAATACCACATGTTATACCGTGTATAATACCTCATGTAACACCATGTATAATACCAGAGATAATACCATGTGTAATACCACATGTAATACATGTATAATACCACATGTAATACCGTATATAATACCACATGTAATACCATGTATAATACCACATGTAATGCAATGTATAATACCACATGTAATACCATGTATAATACCACATATAATACCGTGTATAATACCACATATAATACCATGTGTAATACCACATGTAATACCGTGTATAATACCAGATATAATACCGTGTATAATACCACATGTAATACCATGTATAATACCACATGTAATATCATGTATAATACCACATGTAGTACCGTGTATAATACCACATGTAATACCGTGTATAATACCACATGTAATACCGTGTATAATACCACATGTAATACCGTGTATAATACCACATGTAATATCATGTATAATACCAGAGATAATACCATGTATAATCCCAGAGATAATACCGTGTATAATCCCAGAGATAATACCGTACATAATACATAGGACATAAAATATCACGCACAATAAGATCTTATTTGAAACAAAGGATAAAGGTATGTATTTTCGAACTGTTTCTCTTCCCGGGGTTTACTTTAACCATTCCATCTGTTTTAAGTAAGTCATTCTTACTGAAACTTCGGATCTTTTAAACACAAAGATCAAGAAATTACGAACACCACTCTCCCGTTTCAGACATATTAAATAGTCATGATCTTGTGACAGACAAAGGCAGGCATTCTGATATATCAAGAGACAACCGATGATGTAAATCAGGACATACTGTATTGGTGAACAACTTCCTAAATAATATACGTTATATCATCCCTTCGGCATGAGTTCATCAATCATCGTTACCTGCTTGCGTAAACTTGTTCTACCTCTGCTACTCTGTACATCCCACGGGCTTCACATGCAATCCCTAGTCATCACATCACTGGTTTCCTCTATTAACTTCTTGTTGCATATATATTACCCTGTTTCATACCTGCTTGACAAGGGCGGTGGGGTAGCCTAGTGGTTAAAGCGTTGGCTCGTCACGCCGAAGACCCGGGTTCGATTCCCCACATGGGCACAATGTGTTAAGCCCATTTCTGGTGTCCCCCGCCGTGATATTGCTGGAATATTGCTAAAAGCGGCGTAAAACTAAACTCAGTCAGTCATCCTGCTTGACAAAGATACAAGAATTTGAATAAAGAAGTTGTTCACCCACAAAGTTTGTCCTTATCTGACTCTCCAAGTTCTACAACATGCCACTGAAAGAAGATGATGTAAATTTCCTGCAATGTATATATACCATACCATGGTACTACAATGTATATATACCGTACTATGGTCCTACAATGTATATATACCATACCATGGTCCTACAATGTATATATACCATGCCCTGGTCCTACAATGTATATATACCATACCATGGTCCTACAATGTATATATACCATACTGTGGTACTACAATGTATATATACCATACCATGCTCCTACAATGTATATATACCATGCCATGGTACTACAATGTATATATACCATGCCATGGTCCTACAATGTATATATACCATACCATGGTACTACAATGTATATATACCATGCCATGGTCCTACAGTGTATATATACCATACCATGGTCCTACAATGTATATATTCCATACCATGGACCTACAATGTATATATACCATACCATGCTCCTACAATGTATATATACCATACCATTGACCTACAATGTATATATACCATACCATGGTACTACAATGTATATATACCATACCATGCTCCTACAATGTATATATACCATACCATTGACCTACAATGTATATATACCATACCATGGTACTACAATGTATATATACCATACCATGGACCTACAATGTATATATACCATACCATGGACCTACAATGTATATATACCATACCATGGTACTACAGTGTATATATGATATATCCTGGTACTACAATGTATATATACCATACCCTGGTACTACAATGTATATGTAATATACCATAGTACTACAATGTATATATACCATACCATAGTCCTACAATGTATATATACCATACCATGGTACTACAATGTATATATACCATACCATGGTACTATAGTGTATATATACCATACCATGGAACTTCATTGTATATATACCATACCATGTTCTTACAATTAATATATACCATACCATGGTACTACACTGTATGTATACCGTACTATGGTCCTACAATGTATATATACCATACCATGGTCCTACAATGTATATATACCATACCATGGTCCTACAATGTATATATACCATACCATGGTCCTACAATGTATATATACCATACCATGGTCCTACAATGTATATACACCATACCATGGTCCTACAATGCATATATACCATACCATGGTCCTACAATGTATATATACCGTACCATTGTCCTACAATGTATATATACCATACCATGGTACTACAATGTATATATACCATACCATGGACCTACAATGTATATATACCATACCATGGTCCTACAATGTATATATACCATACCATGGTCCTACAATGTATATATACCATACCATGGTCCTACAATGTATATATACCATACCATGGTCCTACAATGTATATATACCATACCATGGTCCTACAATGTATATATACCATACCATGGACCTACAATGTATATATACCATGCCATGGTCCTACAATGTATATATACCATGCCATGGTCCTACAATGTATATATACCATATCATGGACATACAATGAATGAATGAATGAATGAATGAATTAATTAATTAATTGTCTTTATTTCCTCCAATAATGTCGGAGAGTACAATGAATTATGACATGAATACAAAATACATGATTATGTACAAATCATTTTAAAATGTGAAAGAAAGTTAAGCATATGTATATATAATACGTATATATAATACACTGGGGCGTCACTGAATGGATTACAAATCATAGGTAGATCCTGCTCTGTAGGTTCCAGGAACTAATGTTCCTGGCTACAATGTCGATGAACTGGGCCCACATGTGGATGTCCATGTTATCCACGATAGGGGTGATTCCGCCAAGTAGAGTGATAACTCTCGTGTTATCAGAGCTACTCTCCAGATTGATATATGTTTCTAGAGGCAAGATATCGAACAATCGTTCATACATTTTATTTCTTTGGCTAAACAGTTCACTGCAGCACAACAACTGGTGCTGCACGATATCATCTGTCTCCTCACGACATATAAGACAGAGTCCAGCACTGACCGGTAGTATCCCAAGCTTTACTATGGCGTACACAGGCCTGCTGTACAGGTCAAACAGTAGGCACATGTTCCACAGTCTATGGGACGAGAGGCCCGTGTGTATAGCAGTAAACCGTTGTAAGTCGGGCCGCATGGATAACTGCTTTCTCCATACTGACTTCTCTCTGGTAAACACTGCTTTATTACATATAGTTTTCCACTCATATTTTGATGGAAAGAATCCCTTATCTATGTAATGAAGCAGATATTGATACAGTTCATACTTCGCACATATAGTAATCAAGTCATGAATAACAGAGTTTTTGTTGAAGTTACCACTTAAGAACTGTCCAAATCTGAAATAAAACAGTAGCTTGATCATTTGGGTTGAGCTCGCGCGACATATTCTGCCGAGGTAGCTCAATTTCTTTTTGTCAATCGTGGCCTCCATACTGCAGATTCCGAGAGTCTGTGTGGTAGCAGCAGTTGGAGACCGCACATGGAATCCTTGAATGATTCGTGCAAAGTGTCTCTGCAACCTCTCTAATTCTTCTATTTCTGGTCTTGTGATGTTAGCCCGCAGTTCACATGAATACAGGGCACTTGCTAAGATAATACGCTGCCAGATCTTAGCACAGATTACTGGGTTCAAGCCTCCTGCTCTAAGACCAACGTCTTTGAGAGATGCTATTATCCGCCTAGCAGAAGAACAAGCTCGACTCGTTCTCTCACTTTGGTTTTTGGTATGAACTAGAGATCCTGCGTATATTGTACTATTTTGTACAGGCACGTGAATGTTATTCAGTTTAAAGTAAGGTTCCTTGATATCCTTCTCTCCGCCCTTGAACACAAGAACGCAACTCTTGGCTGGATTGTAGCACAACCTCCACAGGCACGAGTAATCATGTACAATGTTGAGTGAAGCCTGCAGTCCATGATAAGTTGTACTGATCAGGGTCGTGTCGTCTGCTAGCACCACTGAAGGTATATGATGTTGTCCAATCAACGCTCCCCGTTTAAGGTTGTCGAGTTGTGTGATCAGATCATTGATGTAAAGGAGGAACATCCATGCAGACAACACTCTTCCTTGCCCCACTCCTTGTCTGATTGGGAAAGTACGACTCGTGATGCGGTTGTACTGAACACATGCAGACGCTTCTTTGTACGAGTGTCTAATCAAGTGCCACGCTCGTCCGATAGCGCCTATATCAAACAATTTGAATAGAAGTCCATTATGCCAAATCCTGTCGAATGCCTTTTCATTGTCCAAGAATCCAGCATAAATATTTGATTCTCTCTCCATGTAATACGCTATTGTCTCTTTCAGTATGTGAACAGCTATGGTTGCCCCGTGTTCTTTTCTAAATCCACACTGAAGTTTGTTTGGAAATTCAGGATTAGTTACTTGTACATGATTTTCAACTTTGCCTAACAATATCTTTTCAAACAGTTTACTGAAGGCTGAGGTTAACGTGATCCCCCTATAACTTGCTGGGTCAGTCTTGTCCCTGTTGTTACCTTTATATAATGGGAGAATAGTTCCTATCCGCATTGACTTGGGTATGTAACACATCTCAATTATGAGGTTAAACAGCGAGCCAGATGATCGTACAGACATGGACCTGCAAATCGGATATGTTCATTAGTAATAAGGTCTGGTCCTGGCGCTTTCTTCAACTTTAGTGATTTCACTACAATTTGAATGTCAGATACAGAGACACCATTTTCCAATATTGGGTCATACGATGGGACATCAGAACGTTCTATCTCTTCGACCGCATTGTTTATAGATTCAAAATGGTCAGCATCGAAGTTGTTGCTTTCGTATGGCGAAAGTAGGTCACAGTAATACTCCGACCACAGGTCGCATACTTCAATGGGAGTAGAGGCACATTTATCTTTATACTTAATGCTGCTCTGTACATTTGATGCAACTTTCCTTCTCTGTTTCTTAACAGTTCTGTAAAACTCGGCAATGTCAACTTCACTAGCTGTGTTAATTTCAACATATTTCTCTCTTTTCCATTTTCGTTCCGCTGTTCTCATCTGTTGTCTGAACTCTCTCTTTGAGTCTTTATAGCCTATGTAAGCTTGGTTGTATTCTTGTCTTGGTTTCCCCTTGGATACCCAGTGGCGCTTTGCTTGTCTCATCTGGAAGTGGTAATAGTCCAGGTTTGATCCTTTCCAATAGGGTTTAAGGTATGGTCTGTACACACCACGTGGTATATAGGCAGCTGCTGCTGAGTGTAGACATGTTGTGATGGTATCCAGATAGTTGTCAATAACATCCTCTGTCACAGTCGCACTGGGGAGTATCCTACCCAACTCTATAGCCACTTTAGACTCGTACATCTTTACATCTGTCGTGTTGGCCTTACTCCATTTGAGAGAACTACATTTCCATGATTGTGTTCCAGTGAGAAATGAATCATTCATAAATGTGACCATCACTGGCACATGATCGGATACATCATATGGAATAGTGTAATTGGTGACGGTCTCTAGCAGTGATGACTGTATCGATTCTGGAATGAAGATGTAGTCTACAGTTGAACTCTGTGTGTTAGATTTGTTTCGCCATGTTGATGGTATATTGTTCATATCCTGGTATGTTGGAATCATATTCCGATCTGATAGATACCTTTTCAATAGCACTGAACGTCGTGAATTCGGTTTGTTGAAAATGTCCGTATTCACATCTCCACACAATAGCGTTACACCAGTGTAAGAGAGCTCTGTGTCGAACATGCATTTTACACTATCTTCATACGTTTCATAATTCTGGTTTGAAGAGGGTAGATGTGCACAAACAATAGACAGATCAACACAATGTTCACGTTGTATTGTTGCAGCACACAGTCTGTCGCTTACAGTCTCATGTACATACAAGTTGTGACTTAATGTTTTCTTCACCAGTATTGCCACACCTCCTTCACCTCTCGTGCTATTTTGTGAGGACTTAATGGTTACAGCGCAATCGTAATCGCCTTTCATTTGTTCGAAGTAACACTTAGTGTTATCCGTTAACCAATGTTCTGTTATAGCCAGAATGTCACAAGTATCAGCAATGTTTTCAAGGTAATTACTGTTATACATTGCACCACGTATATTCCATGTGGAAATGCAAAGCATGATAATGTAGTATATGAGACGTACAGCCATGGTGAATATCTAGTATGTTCTGCTTTGACCTGACTTTGAGTAGGGTATCCATTCTCTACATTTAACATATTTTGGCCAGAAGTTTTAATTTTCTGTTATCAGTTTGGCATTCCTGCTGTCTACGTTCACTCTTAAAGTGTAAGTTGGAGTCGGACCCTCCCACAGTTTCAGTAGTCTCACACTGGTCACGTGCACTCCACGTTTCTTAGCGTAGTCGCAGATTGCGTCTTGGATCACATTAACTGGTTCGTCAGCACGCGCGAATGACAGGACAAGTCTCTTTGTTTTAAACCTGGGTGTAACACCTTGAAAAGCCCTCGACCATTCATTGTTAAATGTAACTGACCTCTTGTCACAGTCATTTGCTTCTTCACTCTTGTGTTCGCCGCATTTGTCTTCATTGTCAGGTGGCTTGGGTTGAGTGAGGTCAGGCTGATTGCATGATGTAACATCTGGTGATTCAATGCTCTCTGTCGTGACGTCAGAGTGGTGCTGTTGTTCTAGTGATGGTGTACTTGTCTGTCGATCTCCTGATAGACTGGTATCACAGTGTGTGATGATGACGTCATCCCCGTTTGTATCAGCATCCATACTTTTTATCTGTGTTTCTACTTGTTCTTGAGCATCCTGCTTAGACTCCAATGACAGAGTCTCTAACGCCTGCGACTCCAACTTACGTCTGTTACCACAGGTCATCATTCTCTCAATGCCAGTTGTTCTTCGTTGGATGGAGTCTAAGTTCGTTAACACATCATCCCTGAGATGACGTATTTGAGCGTCTCTCTCTCTCAATTGAGAAACGAGAATCTTCATATCACATCTGAGTTTAGCTTCAATGCTACGCATCCTTTCAAGGTCACGTGATGCTGTAGCCAATGCTTCATTCTTCTCCTCCAGTACACGAATCATTTTCAACATATCCGAGTTGAATTTGTCATGCAGTTCATCTATCTTCTTATCAGTAGCATTCGAGCGCTCGCACATGCTATCCTGCAGTTCTATCATTTTTGCACAAATGAGAGACAATGAATCTTTATCCTTTGAGTTCATCATTTCTTGATACATGTTGTCAGTAGTAGAGTGCTTTGTCTTAACCTTTGTTAGTACCTCTTTCTGTAATGCACTCGCCGAGATGCTCCCGGTTAGGATTGGTAAAGATAGTACACATCAGATGCATACTTCTCCATCATCGTCTTCCTCGATCCTATTCTCTGCACTCTTTTCAAGAGACTCCCTTGTGGGAAGTCTTTACACCTTTCCTTAGCAACATCATACATACTGTAACGGACGTCATTTAAGTTCTCCTCTTCCTTGTCATATATATTCAAAAGACCATTTTCAAATGACTCCTTATCCAGTTGTCCAAATTTTTCGTGAATCATATTGAATATAGCATTGTCAACATTTACTACCTTTTGAGTGGGGTAGATATCGTCACTCTCGCTGTCACTTGTCGCCATTGTATAGGAGGCTTGTTTGTATTCACAGCTCAGCTTGGGTGTTGAGTGGTCATCGGTCCAGCGTCCTCTCACTTCGCACATTCAACATAGAAATCTTCCATTTCCACACATATGCCAAAGCTTGTAAGAATTATGCTCGAATCACCTTATGCAGAAAGTCTCTAGCTCTCAGTACATACCAATTTTGTCAGCATAAGTACAGCATTTCATCAGATATTTACATTTTTGCCAGAGCTCTGTCAACTCACAACCTATAACTGGCGCATGCGTAGACTGGAATGTATATATATACCATGCCATGGTCCTACAATGTATATATACCATGCCATGGTCCTACAATGTATATGTACCATACCATGGTCCTACAATATATATATAGCATACCATGGTCCTACAATGTATATATACCATACCATGGACCTACAATGTATATATACCATACCATGGTCCTACAATGTATATATACCATACCATGGTCCTACAATATGTATATATACCATACCATGGTACTACAATGCATATATACCATACCATGGTCCTACAATGTATATATACCATACCATGGTCCTACAATGTATATATACCATACCATGGTCCTACAATGCATATATACCATACCATGGTCCTACAATGCATATATACCATACCATGGTCCTACAATGCATATATACCATACCATGGTCCTACAATGCATATATACCATATCATGGTCCTACAATGTATATATACCATACCATGCTACTACAATGTATATATACCATACCATGGTCCTACAATGTATATATACCATACCATGGTCCTACAATGTATATATACCATACCATGGTCCTACAATGCATATATACCATATCATGGTCCTACAATGTATATATACCATACCATGCTACTACAATGTATATATACCATACCATGGTCCTACAATGTATGTATACCATACCATGGTCCTACAGTGTATATATAATATGCCATGAACATTAGCTGCCCTACATTAACCATGTTATATGACGTACATACCGTTGCTAATGAATACAGTTAAACTACGATTATAGCAATCATGCTGATAACGACTGGCAGATATAAGAAAGTTCGTGTTTGTTCGCTATTTATTTTAGTTGAAAACGTATTAACAACTGCGGGTTTTACGAACTAAACTTAGTGGAGTCTTTGAGTTCGTCCTAACATGCGTGTGTATGTGTGTGTAGATAAATATATGTATGTACTATAAGGTTTTCAGTACAGGAAATTATGACAGCTATTTTTCGTTTTCAATCGTGATATTATGTGTTTGGTTCACAAACAAGTAATCACACAAATCAAACACTGTGTTTGAGAAGTAAATGTGTGCTGAAGTCGTACAGTTTGCTCAATATGTATCGGGTATTGTGTTTACATTTAGAAACGTTTCATGGACGAGAACCAACATGCTCATCGAACTGTTATCGATCACATCGTTCATAAATGATGGTTTCTTGGTGTTGGAATTTGCAATTAGTATAGCCAACAATACATAGTACGTAGTATGATTAAGATCATATGCACCACAGACTCCAGTACGCCCACAGTACTGTCGACATCGGGAAAGGCCACCAAGAAGCATGTTTTCCAAGGACAAAGAGTAGATTACAGGTGCAAGGATAAATCAATGACACTCTCCCCCGGCTTGCCGACAGTTAATGTTGAAACAATGCACCCGCCCATTACAGTGTTGACTATAGTGATTCAGTTAAACATGTCCACATGCAGCCACACACGCTCTAATCCCATCCCAAACACCATCCCCAGGGACCCCTCCTTGCCTGCCGCCATCTAGTCCCGTGTGGCGCAGGGATGCACAGCGAGATTCCGGTAATAGGATTTACCCAAACACTACACGTCTGGCTTCATGCGAGGGCACGTGCCTCAGCAGATATCACCTTGCAACAACAACTAAATATCAAAAAGTCATCTGAATGCGTTAACACTTCTAGGACATGACCATTAAACACCGTTGACAGATCAAGCCAGAGCGGTGTGTACAGGAGAGTGTCGATCCCCGGACACGGCATACAAAACATGGTACTTGTTGTCATCCTGCCTGGTGTTGGGCATTAGGGGTTAAACCATGTACTACTTAGTAGGAGGTATTGGGCATTAGGGGTTAAACCATGTACTACTTAGTAGGAGGTGTTGGGCATTAGGGGTTAAACCATGTGCTACTTAGTAGTAGGTATTGGGCATTAGGGGTTAAACCATGTACTACTTAGTAGGAGGTGTTGGGCATTAGGGGATAAACCATGTGCTACTTAGTAGTAGGTGTTGGGCATTAGGGGTTAAACCATGTACTACTTAGTAGGAGGTATTGGGCATTAGGGGTTAAACCATGTACTACTTAGTAGGAGGTGTTTGCCATTAGGTCTTAAACCATGTACTACTTTGTAGGAGGTGTTGGGCATTAGAGGTTAAACCATGTCCTACTTAGTAGGAGGTGTTGGCCATTACTGTCTAAACCATGTACTGCTTAGTAGGAGGTATTGGCCATTAGGGGATAAACCATGTACTGCTTAGTAGGATGTGTTGGCCATTAGGGGTTAAACCATGTACTACTTAGTAGGAGGTGTTGGGCATTAGGGGTTAAACCATGTGCTACTTAGTAGGAGGTGTTGGGCATTAGGGGTTAAACCATGTACTACTTAGTAGGAGGTGTTGGCCATTAGGGTTTAAACCATGTACTACTTAGTAGGAGGTGTTGGG